TGCTAGATTTTTCAAAGTAAAATGTTGTAATAGGAAGAAATGAAAGTATGATGTTTTAATAAACAAATAAATGAAACTACAATGCTATTTTTGCATTTAGGGATGTGTGAGATGATATATAAGTTAAGGAATTGTTGGATGTTTACCTTATCGTGCTGAGAAAAGAAGTTATTTGAGATCGTGATGAGAGTTGAAGCATGGATGATATCTATGAGCCCATCTGTGGCTCGAGCAAGGAAGCAGTGGTCAACCCAAACGTAGGATGAATCAAAATATAACAATGGCATCACCATCCGAGCCTTGACGGTGACCCAAGTGTGTTGGACTGTTTCTCACAAGGCCCGATTTCCCGGGCTTACAATCATGAATGCTAATCCCATGAATGATCACATGGCTCACATGTTGTATAGTTATACAAGGCCCATATGCAATTTCCACTTTGACCCCTCGCCCATCGATGGTCTTGTAACTATTCACCATAAGCTCGTTCTTGAGCTTTATGACCATATCTTTAGCGAATATGATCCACAAAGGTTGTGTTTGGATCACCCCATAACGTAGGGTTCCAGGTTTAGGGTTTATCGGATCGTCTGTAGGGTTTGTGACCACATATGTTTTACCGTTTTTTCCTCCAATAGCACCTTTACCAAAGCCAACAGTGCAATCGGCTAATGCACGACGATTATACGCCCAATTTGTGGTTTTACGCCGACATGCATCGATTGCGTTCATGGCCCGTGGTGCTTTATTGTAGATGGAGATTGGTTTAGGGGCATTATAGTAAATTGCATGAGAGATTGAAACATGGTAGGACACGAGAGTTAGAATGATGAAGAGTGAAGCCATGCCCATGTTTCTTGCGAAGTGAGATAAAAGAAACCATGAAATATGGTTGATATATATAAGATTGGATAATTACACTTTACATCCTTGTTTTATCGTTGTGTCAATTTTTGAACAAGTTGGAACTTTTCTGTAACAATGCAAGCCTTACATTAGCAAAAATTGTGAAGTTTGGGTCCTTTATAGTTTATATAAAAGCAAGGGTAGTTATATGTAGATATCTAGTTAAGCGATAAGAGTATCACAATGTGGCACACACTACTTTGACTTGCTATGATTTTGAGACGTGAGTGCACGCTTATGCAAGTTTGACTTTTGAGGATTGTTGGGCTTAAGATGTTGATAGTTGACTTTGGGCCTTTGGAAATTTAATTAAACTATTGTAGAGTATAGAGTATAGACCAACGGTTTCCCATTGTTTTTATTTTTTTATTTTTAGTTTTTTCGGTTTAAGTTAATGAAATGTTTTAATTCTAAGTCGAAAAGTGACTTATATGAGCATTGTAATTCACAAAATCAAATAGATTCGTATGTTGGTTGATCGTTTTCAATGAGACTGGATTTTTGCAATTAATATAAAAGTTCTTTAACCCTTAAAAAAATTATGGGCCAAAAATCAGCCCAAATTCCTTCATTTAATCTCCCTATACCCTAGAGTTAATATTTTTGGTTTTTATTTATTTTCATCATCAAAATAAATGATTTCGCTGATATAATTTTTTTATTTTTTTTAGGAAAGGGAAAATATATATAAATTTTTTGCTTAATATATAATATTTTAGGGGATGTTTGGTAGCCTCCTAATTCTTCAATTAAGAGGTAGACATTTAATTTTTTAGATTCAGAGCGTTTGATAGTCTCTTAGTTTTTGTCTCAACTGTTTTAACAATCTTTTAATTTTTAAGAGAAGAAGTTGTATCTGAATAAAAAAAAAGTAAACGTGTTTCAAAAATACCTTAATCTTTCATCAACCATTTTTCCCTCCTATTTTTCTATTTTCCCTTCCACTGCCCTCTCCAATTTTTTAAAAGTTCAGAGTTTCTTACAATTCAGATTTCAAAAGTTTAGATCTTACTAATCACCCATTAGACAATAACTATGATTTCTTACTGATGAAATTGATTGTAACTTGGAAATGATAAAAACGGGAACATTTGCTAGTAACTTGAAAATGACAAATGGCTTTACCTTATTTTTCTCATATAAATACTGTATTTTTGCTTTCATTCAAAGTAGAATCTTGGTTCTTGTACGGATGTTATAATATTTTATTTTTTAAAAGGTCTAATATTAAGATTATGTAATTGTCTACCATATTCTTTCATATAAATTGACTTCAATGACTAAAGTACATCAAATTCATTTGTATATGTATTTATAAATATTCAATAGTTAGTCAAACAATTTTTTATATGTCGATAAATGTTTGACTGAGTAAACCAAACCCATCGCTTACCTTTTATCTTAACAATCACATTACCACGATAATAAATATTTCAAAAAACTATAAAGTATAAACCATTTAATTAATAATTTATTTTTATTTATCTATAAATGTAAATACAACTATAAAATATTAGACATCCAATCCCAATCGTACCCGACTTTCTTACGGGTATCATTTTCAATCGGACGTCATTTACATGTTTAAAATAGACAAGAATGTTCTTTTATTTATGCATAGCTACACATCCCATGTACACAAGCATCCCCTCTTTTGCATACATTATTGCAATCCCCACAATGATTCTTGTCCACCATCGGATTCACACACGATCCCTTGCAACAAATCTCCATATATTTGCATTTCCTCCCACAAAGCCTGCAATTTTGTTTATCAATAATCACATTAACACATTTCTTGTTGCAACAATCTGGTCCGGGGCTTCCCTTTGCAAGACAAAGCCTAGGGTTCTTGTTGCATTTTAACCCCCTAGTGTCATCAAGGACCCCACCAATCCCTAATGGTGTACTCGATACCAAACTATCAGCTTCACTGTCATTGATATCGAACCATTTTTCTTCAGTTGGTGTGGAAGAAAGTGTTGCGGCTAAGGTTATGAAAATGGCAAGGGCAATCAAGAATCTTGTTAGAGTGTTCATGGTGGTGTCTCTAAATGGAAATGTGAGTTTTGTTGGAGTAATGATTAGGGATGAGTATTTATAGGGATGTAATGTGAAGGAGTTTGAAAGATGGGGGTCTCTTTTGTTGAAAAAGGTTTGGTTCTGATAGCAAATTTTACATTGTTATGTATACGTATTGAATTCTGTATGTAGAATTAGAAGAAAAAAAGTAGATAAGATTCCACTTAATAATGTCAATTTGGATCTTGGATGGTATATTTGATGTATACTAGACGTATTAAAACTCATGTAGTCATGTGTAAACTAATTCTTAATATTGTATCACTAACTCCGTTAAAGAACAAAATGTTTTTTTAAAAGGTACTCTACATAAAGATAGACCAACAAAGAGAAACCTATTGTGGTCCTTTCGATATTCCAAAATTGATTTTGAGTTGCCCGTTTCTTGTGAAATAAACACAATAATTCAAGTTTGTGTCCTCCGTTTCTTGTGAAAAAAACACAAAAATCAATTTTATAACATGTCAATAGTGTCCCATGTAACAAAGTAAGCCATTCGTTAAGTTTAGATATTTGCAATGATTTCATCAATGGTTTTATTAGTGTATGGACTTCGAAGGTCTCATCTCTCATGTCGGATGCCAGTTTGAAAGGTAAAATGATGATTATCTTTACTTTTTTGTAGGGGTTGGATGTGATATTTTGCCAACAGTTTGTGATTATAATACGAAGAGGTCTAGGTTTTGATTTTTTATGATTATGCTCTTGTCTTCTATACTTTTCTTAGGTTTAGTTAGGGGTGTTATTGTATTTTTTTGTCTTCTATACTTTTCATAGGGTTAATTAGGTGTGTTATTGTCTTTTTTTCTTAAAAATTCATGATGTTCTACAAATCTTGTCCGCCTTTTTTTTTCTTCGTTATACAAAACAAGACAAGACATGACAAGACATCTTCCATAACATTTACAATGCCATTAGGATGATACAGGAACCAATGATGACACTATTTCAGTTTGGTTTTTGACAAAAACACACACAAGTAATTGACTAAAACATATGGAATATGATACAAAAACATACACACACAAGTAATTGACCAAAACATATGGAATATGATACAAAACAAAGTAGAAGCCATTCATAATTTTGTTTTTCAATGGAACCCTTAAAAACACATTGTTTAATTTAAAATTTATATACTTAATCAATTAAACTTGTACACAAAACGATGGCACTTTGGGTTTTCCGGTTCGGGTTTCTTTTCATTTTTTATATAAAAAAAGCCAAAACAAACCTACAAATATGGTTTTCTTAAAAGCCAAAAACAAGATAATTCGGTTCTTTTGCACACACCTAACCGGGATTGATTATAGTATTAGGGATTGTTTAATAAACACTATGGATGTAACTATTTAGAGGTCACCTATTGACCTCTAAATCTATCAAAATTCAAACATGTTTGATGTAGCCTCTGAATGGTTAAGGAGCCCTACCTTCTTTTAACCATTAAGAAGTTGAAATTATTAAGCACTAAATGATTCAATTTTATCAAATAGCCCCTTAGTAGATCAAAAATTGGAAACTTTTGTCCACGATCACACCCCAAAAAGGTTGAACAAGGTGAGCCAGAGGACTATATTGCTCGGATTTAATTCGAGTTTAATCAATACAATTCAATGTAACTAACAGGATACAGTCCTCTGATTCAATTTCAAAGCTCAATGGCTCAAGTGCTAAACTCAACAAATTTTTAGTGCACCAAGTAAAATTACATATTCACCCATCCAATTCCACGCCATTATAACATGATATGACAATAATCTGCATACGGAACTACCTCAATTACACTTCATTATGTCACATATACTAGTCAAATTACAATGGGTACACTTCATTATGCTATAAAAATACGAGTTTTTCTACTAGAAACAAATGCATTGAACATATGGAATCTATTTTGTTCCATACATGTTCTCAAAATCTTAATACGATCAAATCCAACTTCCAATAAAGTATATATAATGCATTGAATAAATACAGAAGCTATATATGCATCAAATAGATGTTCTACCTCAAACTTTCAGAAGTTGCATCTTGTTGGTGAAAGCAATGGCAATCCAATCAGGCATGGAGGCAGACCACTGGAGCTGGTTAATCTCCGCCCCAGCTGTATACATTGACATTGGATCAATCCCATTAGGTCCAGCCACCGTGGGCAACTCCCATATAAGAGCCTGTGAATCATCTCCGGCTGAGCAAATATGCTGCCAACTCGCCGGAGCCCAAGCAATTGCATTCACACTTCCTCTATGTCTCTCTAATTCAGCCACAGGCATGGTGGGAGATCGAATATCAAGAATCACAATCTTATTACTGTCCATTAAAATGGTGGCCATGTACCTTAAATCCTGCTTGTTCCAAGCTAATCGTAACAATGGTGTATCTGGTTGAGGGCTTTCGTATATTATCGTTGAGTGCTCCTTGTCACGTAAATCAAAAACCCTAACAGAGCCATCTGCGGAAACAGAAGCAAAGACACCGGCCTCTCCCCAAGCAATATCATGAACCTCCTTATCGTGAGCAATCAATTGTGTTTCTACAACGCCTTTTTCAACATCCCAGATAGTACAAGTTGTATCGATTGAGGAAGTGCCGATTCTCCTTGGTTCCACCTCGTTCCAGTCGAATGAGGTCAACGGCGCACAGAATTCGCTGCTTTTACTGTTGTTGAGAACGGAGATTTGTTCAACTGAGTTTTCACGGACTCCATAGAGGCGGAGGAAGTCACCGGAGGAGGCTAGGATATCACCGGATACCTTAGGGTTAGGGTGGAACATAAGTTTAGTAGGAGGATAAGGGTGGTCGAATGAGAGGTTAGGAATTGGCTTGATGGAAAGAGTTTCTTCATCGAATGTCACGATGTCGACTCGATTGGCGTATTCTTCGACGAAGCTGCCGAGGGCAATTCTACGGTGGGAGGCGGCGGCGGAAGAGATGGCCATGGAGTAGAGAGTGTAAGGGGGATTCATATGTGACGAAGTTGTCGGATCTGAGTTGAGATTCTAGGGTTGAAGTATCCATTATGGATGAAAACTGGGAGCAAAGATAAATTCAGCCAAGGAAGACGGTGGTGGTAGAATTGGGATTTTCCGGCGCCATGTGAAATTGTGGAAATAGAAGGATATAGAAACAAAAATAACTTGGGAAGTTGCTTTTTCAACAACAACCATGTTGACCAGGAGACAAGACCGGCGTTGATTAAAATAAAGTGTTGTTTCTGAAGCAAAACGTCAGCAGTCTGCGGATCATATTTGTAGACCTCTGCAGTAGAAGAGGTGGACCAAACGTCTGCAGTCTGAAAAAAGAAGACTGTTTTTTTAACATCCGCGGACTACTAAAATAAACTGAAATCTGAATAAACTGATTTTTTTAAACTTCAAATTAAATTTTTAATATTTTTATGACTTTGTTATAAATAATTAACGAATCTAGATCAACTTTTATGTATTATTGTATAAAAAATAAAAATAAAAATGGTATTAATTAACGTATATATTTGATAAAAATCAACAACCTTGGTTGTAAAGTTATAACTAAACATTATAATTAGTGATAAAAAAATTTGATACATAAATGAATGGAAATAAACTTCAATTTTTTCAATTAAATCTATTAAAAATGTACCATAAACATTTTCTCGAGAAATTGATGATACTGTATTAAATAATGTTTTACAAAATTTGGCAAAAAAATATAAGAATATATTATGATTTTTTTTTCATATTTATATAAACAACTTCAACGACCATTATTATAATAAATATTTATTTATAAATTTGTCAAAAATATAATGTTTGTATCGTCGAACGTTTTTTTTTAAAGTTTTGTAATTTTTTTTTCAAATTGTTTATCGTTAATAAAGTTGGAAAAAATATAAATTAAAAAAAACTTAAAAAAATAAAGATATATATGTTTTTTTAGGCTAGAAGATGTCTGAAGATGTTAGAAGACTCTGGTCCACATCTGCGCCAGGAAAAGAGCGCGTAGACATTTTTAGGTCTGCAGTCTTCAAAAAAACAAACAGTCTGTGAAGGCTAATGTCTGCGCGTGGTCTGCGCGGCGCAGACAGAAGAGGTCACGCAGATCTGCAGACAAAAAACAAACACTACCATAAAGTTTTTGTCATAGAGACCCATCTAAATTTTAATTTAGGTTTTAAAAGACCAATATTGTTTTTTTGGTCTTTATGGACCCTCAAACTCGAAAATTACCTGTCTCTTATACCCTTATTGATTTCGTAATTTATTTAGCCGGTTAAAAAGTTGATGTAGCCGTTGACTTAGGTGGTCAATTAGTAATTGTGCCAAATGTGTAATTCCAGAGTGGAAAAAACTTGTAAATAATCTTAATTCATTTTCCATAGTCGTTTTATAAGAAGAGGAATGGAGATTTGAACTAGGGTTTTTAACCATCGTATCCACTACTGAGATTACACTGCTACTGTCGAAGGTATTCTACTCTTTGAAGATTGTTTCACTGTTGCATGGCTGAGAACGATAACGAAGCTGTATATCTGAGAGTTCATCTACACTACAATGGTGTATTTGTTCGACATCCTTCTGGGTATGTTGGTGGGAATAAGTTCCTCTTCACTGATGTTGATTGGGCAGGTATGGATGTAAGGGACTTTTTTGATTTTAATAGACTATCGGAGCTTTGGTCATGGGGTAAGAAGAGTTATGAACTACTTATTGATAGAGGCTATCTGGGGAATTTTTTCAACTAACATGTCTACTACTAGCTAGAGACATCCCATTGTAGGATGATTTGATTTGATTTTCCCAATTTTTAGATAGCTATGAATAGGGAAAAAGGTATGAATACGGGGAAATTTCAGTTTATGGATCATAAGGGAATGGGTTGGGAATGATGGATGATGACATGAATCGGTTGTTAGTGAAGATAATGAAAGTGGCCTTGAAGATGATGGTGTACCTAGAAAAGAAGAAAACACTGCCCCTGATGAAACCCAATCCCAATGTAGGTCTTGAAGATGAAGTAATTGACATTGACAAAGTACCTTTGAACAAGACGAATGGGGATGAGTTTCTTAGTAAGTTATGTCCTCTAGAAGGCGATACTGGTGACAATGAAGTTGAATAAGAAGATGTTGAGATCCATTCCATTTTCAACCCTGATATGCAATGGAAGAGGCAAGTACCTGTTCTTGGGATGAAATTTGAAAGTCCAAAGCAGCTGAAAAATATGTTATGTAACTATGATGTGGCAAATGAATACCAACTATGCTTCAAGAAGAATGATAGTAAAAGGTTGTTGGTGGTGTGTTGCAAAGGAGCTTGCCCATTCATGTTATGGGCTACATGGATGAGGCAGGAGGTGTCATTTCAAATCAAGTCATTGAAGATTGAGCATAATTGTGCTAGAAACTACAAACTAGGATCAATTGTCACATACTCTTGGATAGGAGAGCATTATACAAAGGAAATTTTGCATAGACAAAAGTTAACAATTAGACAATTGAGATTGGAGGTCATCAGGAAGTTTGGAATACATGTTAGTTTAAGTCAATGCAGAAGAGCAAAGGCACATGCCATGAATCTTATCGAGGGGACTATTATTGAGCATTATGCAAAATTGTGGTTTTATGGGGAGGAAATTAGAAGAAACAATCCAGGTTCAACAGTCAAAATGGATGTCCAATGCATGCCTGATGGTTTGACTTACTTCAGTAAGTTCTATGTATGTTTTGCTAATGTGAAATCTGGTTGGTTAGAAGGTTGTAGAAAGGTGTTAGGTGTAGATGGATGTTTCCTTAAGGGTGTATGCAATGGGGAATTATTGTGTGCTGTGGGTAGAGATGCTAACAACCACATATTTCCAGTTGCATGGGCAATAGTGTGTGTTGAGAATAAGGAAAATTGGATGTGGTTTCTGGAGTTGCTCAGAGATGATCTTGAACTAGGTATGGGCACTGGGTTTACCTTAATGTCTGACCAACACAAGGGTCTTATGGAGACAGTTAAGGATGTGCTTCCTTGTGTTGAGCATCGACAATGTGCAAGGCACATTGTTGCAAATTTTAAGAAGAGGTTTGCAGGGGCTATTTTTGAGAACCTTTTTTGGAAGGCTTGCAATGCAACAACACCACAATCTTTCAGTGAATTCATGCAAAAAATTGAAAGGTTAAGTCCGGAAGCCCATAAGTACTTGATGGAGAAGGAACCAAAGACGTGGTCAAGAGCATTTTATGAGGTAGGAGGGCATGTGCTGCAGTGGAGAATGGTATTTTTGAGAGCTTTAATACAGTAATTGTTGAGGCCAGAAGGAAACCAATAATCACTATGTTGGAGGAGTTGAGGTTATATATCATGGAGAGGATGTTTAACTTAAAACACAAGAAATGGACAAAGGATGTAAGTCCTGCAATAAGGCAGTTACTAAATGGTTTAAAGATTGAAGCTAGGTACTGGCAAGTGCTCCCAAGTGGACTAAACAAGTTTGAGACAAGAAATGAAGGTCAAGCTTATGATGTGGATCTTGACAACAAGACATGTTCTTATAGGTTATGGCAACTAAATGGATATGGGTGTGCCCATTCAGTTGCTACAATCTTATTTCTGAATAGGGATGTGGACACCTATGTGGATCCTATTTTTTGCAGAGCAAACTACAATAAAACATACTTGAATAATATCTTGCCTATGAATGGTAGTAAAATGTGGCCAGAGACATCATTCACCCCACCCTTACCTCCCCAAAGAAGAAGGATGCCTGGAAGACCTGCAACAAAAAGGAAGAGAGATGTGACAGAGAAAATGGGGAAGCATAAGGTATCAAAGAAGGGTAAACCCATTGTGTGCAGTGCTTGTCATATGCCTGGCCACAACAAGGTTACTTGCCCCACAACAAATAAGCCAGTTAAGCTCAGGGTGAAAAAACCAAAGATAACCAAGACTACCCAGGTATATTGAAATGATGTTGTCATTTTAGCAAAGCAAATTTGTAAATCTTAAATATTGACATGTTACCTTGTACAGGAATCTGTAGTTGAAGGGTTGGTGAATGGTGGTGCAGTAGGTGTGCAAGGATCAGTTAACAGTGTTGTAGGTGGTGTACATGGAGGTGAAGGTGGTGTGCATGGTGGTGAAGGTGGTGGAGTGCATGGTGTTCGAAAGAAAAAGGGTACTTTGAAACTGTACAAGTATACCCTAATATGTTTTTAGTATTATTAATGAAGGGTAATATGGTAATTTTATTATTTAATGGAAGGGTAATATGGTAATTTTATTATTTGAAACTGTACAAGTGTCACACCCCCGAACCAGACGGTGGAAACCTCCGAGGGCTCGCGTGACTTAAATTGAATATCATCACAATGAATATACATGAAGCATAACATAAACATCACCATGCATTAATACATTACAACTGACCTTGTTCACATCAAATACATTGTCTAAATATTACATATCCATAGCATAAATTGTTTGAGAGTTTTCAAAACATAACATCCTAACACACTTGGTATTGTTCTTCGACTTATCTGTTACCTGAGAATACAAGTTATTTTGAAAACGTCAACATATGGAATGTTGGTGAGTTCATAAGCAGGGTTGATATGAAAATGTTTTGTGTAGTTTATAAAACCCAGAAAATCCGATATTTTCTGAAAAGACAATTGTTTATACTAAAGTGTGAAGATCCATAGGTTTATGTATGAATGATTTCAAAGCGTGTATAAATGAGAAGTTTTGCATTATAGTTATTGAAAATACAAGTGAATGGTGTTGATTCCTTCGAAAAACCCGATGTTTTCCGATAATATAATATAATTATTTCGAATTATTATACCGTCACAACGAATGATTATGAATTCCCTTGATTACTCAGATAGTATTGGATTTATTATGCGAGTCGTTATAACCATGCATGATAATGACTAGTTCGTCTGTGTTGGCATTCTAGTGAACGCCAGAATTGATCTTAAGATTTTGTCACCCTAGACTGGCCGAGTCTAACTGTAGCGAACAGCTGAGGTGTGGGGGAGTCACCCCCGTATAGATCTATACACAAACTCTCGCTCTCCCTCCAGGAGACTTTGATTATAACTACAGACTACGACCGACACTTAAAGGTGTCGCCCGTTATTACTCACTTAATCCAAACGAATTTGATTACCCTTGATTAACGACCTGATTTTGTTTACTTGAATTGAAGGTAAGCCTAACAGACGAGGAGAAGAGGATTACGAGGTCCTACTAATTACGTATGTTATTTAGGGTTGTTGAGTATACGAAGGACGCGTTGGCCCATTTCGCATATGATTTATTTGGACCTTACTAGCAATGCTAATGGGCCACTGAGGCCCAATAGCACGTAAAAAGCCATTGAGGGTCCCTTAAGCATGTAATTGAGTCGCAGGAGGCCCAATAGACATGTATTATTATTGTTAGGCCCAAAAGTCATGTTAATGGGTCACGAATGCCCAATAAACATGATTAGAATCTTTCAAGCCCAACAATTTTAATATTTACTTGTTTTAGGTATGGTATAGTTGTCGGAAGGTCTGATTGTTCAATTGTTAAATCACAAAGGCACGAAGTTTGTCGATTGTTTATAACGATATTTGAAAACATATGTATATTTTTCATTCTAAATTCATAAGGTATAATTTGGTATTTTTGACCCAAATATCTTAATAATAAAATAATTGACTCAAAATATTGGTTTGACCAATTCAGCCCTTTAATAAAAATGACAATTTTAGTCCCTTTTTATAAAAAAATGACATTTTAGGTCCTTAAACTATTTTTCTTGACATTTGGCCCATAGACTTATTTAAATAATGTTTTCAGCCCAAAGTTTACTTTTTGGCAGTTTCAACCCTTTTAGTAAAAAGATTTTCATTTATAGTCCAAACTTTTCGCAACTTTTACAAATTTGACCCAAAATCCAAAGACTTTGCATTTTTGATCCTTTTTGGCAAAAAGGGTCATTTTAACCCCTGAAATAGATTTATTTACCTTTTTACCCACTGTTTTGAGAAATTTACCATTTCAGTCCCTTAAAACCCATTTTTTTCGCAAGTTTGGGCCTATGGGCCGAAAAGCCCAAAAATTTGGCCCAATAGGCTACAATTTACATTTCTAGTCCTTTGAAGAGCATAATATTCATAAAAACTTCTATTTTAACTGTTTTGACCCTTTGGGTCCTTATAAAACCGTGAATGACAACCTTTAACCCAACTTTTGTTTATTTGACAAAAATAGCCCAAAAATGAGTTTTATGTTGTAACATGTTTATTTTAACCTTAGGTGATAATTTTTCTTGACTTGTTTAATGTAATACATCCTAGATCACGTATATTTTCCTCCTTGAGCCATAGATCTTGAGATTTCTTTCCTTTTTGGCACATATTTACCACATAAACACATGAAATCACACATAACATACACATACACATAGATCTACACATTTTACTTGTATTCTCCCCCATAAAACTTGTGAAAACCGAAAATAGAGGGGTATGAACTCACCTTTGCTTGTTGTTTTTGGTTTTGAAGAAAGAATGGAAGAGTTTGATGTTATTTTCGACCCTAGCAAGCTTTCTTGGGTTGATCTCGAACTTATGGATGTTTCTAGGATGATCATGAGTTTGCATGAGTTGAGAAGAGAATTTTTGATAAAACAAAGAAACTAGATCATGGATCTAAGCACAAACTTACCAAGAATGATGATTTCTTATGGAAGAACCCTCTTGAAATGCCCTAGATCTCGAAATTTTGATGGAGGAATGAAGGTATTCTTGAGAGAGTTTGTTTTAAAGAGATGGATGAAATGTGTGTGTGGGTTGTGTGTCTTCGGCCGAAGATAGAAATGAGAGGGAGAAGAGAGATAAATTGAGTTGACATGCATGGAAGTATGGAATTTGTGCATGGGTTTCCAATGGACAAATATGAGGTGTCTTGCCCTCATAATTCTTCATTTCTTCCTTTTTATTTATCTACCCTTTACTTTTTTTTTTGTTGGCCGAGAATGGGCTAAGGAAAAGAATGGTTTGGGCCTTTTTGTGCTTGAGTCCATAATATGGGCCCAGTTGGATGGTTTTCGGCCCATTGGGCCTTTTAGAGTAATTCACGGCCCAATATACATCAAGGAATGAGTTTTATGGCCCATTAGGGCTAATTAGATTTGTTATGGCCCAATAAGGCCCATTTAGATAAACTAGCCCATTTTAGGCTTATAAGGCCCAAAAAGGTTAAGTTTTATGAAAGTGGGTCCAATTAGGGCCCATTTAAGAGTTCTTAGCCCAAAATAGTCAAATTGGAAGTTTATTGGTCCATTAGGCCCAATAAGGAAATCCTAGTCCAAAATGGACTTGAACCGGGATTTTTAGGGTTTCCAACCTTTTGTTGACTACTTGAATGTTTGTATAGAGTATTTGATGGAATTTTGTGATCATTGAATAAGCACCATACATGTTTTCAAGTTTTAGTTACAATGTTATCCTTGTTAAGGGTTTTACAAAGCATCAGAATTCCTAGTTGTGACATCATCCCCCCGTTAGAGGGTATTTCGTCCCGAAATTCTTTTTGAAGCTAGATTTGAAATTGCGAGAATAGGTGAGGGTACTTCTGCTTCATCTGGTCTTCGTGTTCCCATGTGAATTCTGGTCCACGTTTCGCGTTCCACCGAACTTTCACAATCGGAATGCGACTTTGCTTAGTACGCTTCACTTCCCTGTCCATGATTTCGACTGGTTCCTCGATGAACAGGAGATTCTCGTTGATTTCGATTTCTTCTAATGGAATGACGAGGGTTTCGTCGGATAAACACTTCTTCAAATTGGAAACATGGAACACGGGGTGTACACTGCTGAGCTCAGCGGGTAGCTGCAGTCTATAAGCCACTGGACCGATTCGGGCAAGAATCTCGAAGGGTCCAATGTATCGTGGGTTTAGTTTTCCCCGTTTCCCGAAACGAATCACCCCTTTCCAGGGAGAGACTTTTAACAACACCCGATCCCCGACTTGAAATTCCAAGGGCTTTCGCCGTTTATCAGCGTAGCTCTTCTGTCTGTCTCGTGATGCTTGCAGTCGAGCTCTGATCTGAATTATCTTCTCGGTCGTTTCGCGTATGATTTCTGGTCCCGTCAATGCATTGCTTGGTGCCTGTCCTCTTGCTAGCTGAGTGTCACCTATCTCAGCCCAACACAACGGTGATCTACATTTACGCCCATATAATGCCTCGAATGGAGCAACTTTGATGCTTGAGTGATAACTGTTGTTGTACGAGAACTCGATTAAAGGCAAGTGGGTATCCCACGACCTTCCAAAGTCTATCACACATGCGCGAAGCATATCTTCAAGCGTTTGAATGGTTCGCTCGCTTTGACCATCCGTTTGTGGGTGGTAGGCAGTGCTCATGTCAAGTTGTGTTCCCATAGCTTTCTGAAGCGATTGCCAAAAGCGTGAAGTAAACCTACTATCTCTATCTGAGATGATAGATATTGGCACTCCATGGAGTCTCACGATTTCCTTGATATAGGTTCTTGTCAATCGTTCCATCTTGTATGACTCTTTTATTGGCAGGAAATGAGCGGATTTTGTCAACCTGTCGACTATTACCCATATGGTATCCAAACCATCTGTTGTCTTGGGTAGTTTGGTCACAAAGTCCATAGTAATCCTTTCCCATTTCCACTCGGGTATTACTGGTTGTTGTAATAATCCCGAGGGCTTCTGATATTCTACCTTTACTTTAGCACAAGTGAGGCACTTGCTAACGTAAGTGGCAATTTCTGCCTTCATGTTAGGCCACCAATAATGTTGCTTGATATCCAAGTACATTTTATCTGAACCCGGATGGATGGAGTATCGTGTCTTGTGGGCTTCATTCATGACTACTTCTCTGAATCCCCCAAGTTTAGGGATCCAAATTCGGTTCATGAAATAATATGCTCCGTCCTCCTTAACTTCGAAATTCTTTTCCATTCCACGTAACGCTTCGCTTGTTCTGTTTTCTATCTTCATAGCATCGAACTGGGCTGCTTTGATTTGTGTAGACAGATGGGATTGAATGGTTATTGAAAGAGTTTTTACACGACGATTTGAGTATTCTTTCTGACTCAAGGCATCAGCTACCACGTTAGCCTTGCCTGGGTGGTACTTGATTTCCCACTCATAATCGTTTAGCAGCTCAACCCATCTTCGCTGCCTCATGT